CAAAGTAGGTCTCACGGCTACGCTTACCATAAAGAAGTAAAAAGTGCTAGAGACTTCATTGTTGCGTCATATGAACAAACTTGGAAGCCGTTTTCATTTGAATATAAATAAAGTTATGTTTTGTTGGATTTTGAGCTCGTCCAGCGCGCTATAAAACGAGTGATATCTGCTAATGTAGTTAAGGTCCTCCAGTCAAAAATTCTTTCCTAATGTCAGAAGAGAAAATCTCATTTGCGGATAGAAATATGCAACTTTGTATGCTCTTTCCAGCTAGTAGTATGAGAACGTTTGATAGGACCAGATAAGGTCAGATTTCGCTCTTCTGGCACCCCTAAAACGCGATTCAGAACTTATATGGCCGAAGTATTCGGAATAATTTTTCCATGGGCCGACAGTAGCCTTTCCATACCTTTAGTAGGACTATCGATTGCATATAATCAGACCTTCCCGACTTTAAGTCGTGTATAAAATGGGCGGACCTGTGCGGAAGTACCCTCTTTCTTTTCCATGGTAATATGTGTAATTTTTGAATGCTTAGAGATACAAGAAGCGGAATTAATGGATTGCAGTAACAAGTGACATGTGAACATCTGATTCCAGAGTAAATTACATAAGCATTATAATTCATTACGCCGATGTAAAAACCGTTGTGAAATGCTACAACTAAATTCGAATAGTTTTTCAGACTAAGGTAGCCTTATTTAATAAAAGCAAAAGATTTTTTACTAACTTCTGAAAAAAGTAATTCACGTTAGATTAAATATCGTAATGCCCCCTGAGAGGGATATTCCGTCGTAAAGGGTTAAAACTGGGTTTGGTGGGTTCTTTTTCACATTTGTTACAAACAGTTGTCAAAACTGGTTCGGACGTGCCAGATATTAAAGTTTCCACCTAAAACTGCTCACTCCCATGCCATGAGTGTAAGCATGCTACTAAGACTCACCGCATGCTAGGAGACCAAGTTAACGCGTAGTGATGGATTAACAGAAAGCGAAGGCACTGAAGTTGAGAATTTGGAAATTCTGCAGCACAGTGAGTCAGGAAAGAAACGCACCTTCATTTCCAAGTGGTTCAGAATGTAACCATGAGAAACAGCATTTACAGACGGAGTCGAGTGTCGTTATTTCAATATTTGCTTACGTAAAGTTTTATGTAGAGAATTATATCCATGCATGTGATGCATACCAGAGTTTTAAAGCTAATACTCAAAAGGCTGCTGGTAAGATGATCTCCAATGTGGTACACGAGCCGTGATATACTATTGGTATAGATACCACTGGTCCGTTACCCACAACAAAAACGGGCAATACCCACATTTTAGTGGTCGTCGACTACTTTACAAAATGGGTGGAACTATTTCCATTGCAAAACACGCGTTCTACTCATATTGCACAAATACTTCTCGATAAAGTCATTTATCGTTTTGAATGCCCAGTAAAGATCATCTCAGATAACGATCAGTGATTTATTTCGGAAGTATTCGAAGAAACTCTTCGTATTCTCCAAATAAATCATCGCGAACTGCCTTATATCACCCGCAAACAAATCTATTAGAGCGAGTGAATAATACGCTTAAAAGCATGATAAGAGCTTACGCTCAAAGTGATCGACGTGGGTGGGATGTAAAACTTCCTCAATTGGCTTTTGCTCTGAGGACGGCGATAAACGATAGCACTGGAGAATCTCCTGCCTTCTTGATGTTCGGTCGCGAACCCCGTTTACCGATAGATGTACTATTTGGTTCAATAAATCCATCTGACGATCATCCAGCCAATGATCGAGATATTCGGGTTTATCGTGATCGACTTACAGCTAACCTTTTACCAGCATTTAATTTTGTACGAGAGCATCTCGAAATCACACAACAAAATCAGCGTTCATCCTACGACAGACATTGTAGAGATGTGCATTTTGAGTTGGGCGATCTTGTGATGATGGCTGCCACAGTAGGTAGTACACTCGGTAAATGGAAAGCATCTAAGTTGGATTCTCAATTGGTTGGACGATTTAAGATTACGAAAAAGATTACACCCCTAAAGTATCAGTTAACTTCCTAATCGGATGGTGGATAATCGGGTGGTGGAAGTAGTACATGTTGAGCGCTTAAGATCATATTACTCTCCATTTCAAATTTCTTCTTTATAAATCGAGATTAAGAAGTAAAACACACCAAAAAATAAAAAAACAAGAAAACATTGCGTTCGTTCTGAGAAAGTTTTTGAATGACAGATTTTCAAAAATAATAACATCAGCCACATTTAAAGGAACACAAAAATTTCGTCGTTGTCGTCGATTAGTTGTGTCAATAAATAATTAGTGGCGACAACAATAACTCTGTTGTCATCATAATGTATGTCACTGAGTAATCCAACACCGAATCGATTATTCAGTGTTGAATAACGAATTGCTAGATATGCAGCAATACGTTGGTCACGAGACAGAACAATTAAACGACGACCGGTGTATCCCGCACTGTTAATTCGTTGAGCTAATAATTCTTTCTATACCGTCATTTCTTGTGCGTTCATTATACCCGATAGATTACAAGTTAGCGGAAGAGATGAAACAAATTATATTTTGGTAACAAGAGGTAAAGGTGTGCTCAATATTATGTGAGAAGTAACAGCTGAAAGACTTTATATGAATGTGTCACTTAACAACACTTCGCGCTGTTCATCCATTTTACTCAGAACTTAAGTGTAATTGCGGCTGAAACACCCTTAATTTGATTAAGCATAATTAAGAGTTTATTTATAATAATTAAAAACTTTTATTGTTAGAACACGAATTTTCGATCTATTTATACAGTCATTATCAAGACAAAATATCGTACAGAGCGTTACGTTAAAGAAAAAACAAGACCAAACAGTACATATTTATAAGTATATATATATGTATATACAGAGAGAGAGAGAGGGATTGCTACTATTTTATTTCTATAATTCTCCATTTTGTTATTCTTTACTTTTCACTTTAGTTCTTTGTCAATTTCTCTTGAATTTCGATTCTATATGGCGTGATTTTATTTCTCGTTGTTTACAGTCCTGAACCTTTACGCTCGATGGTTCTTCTATCCCATAGAGCTCGTTGAATACCATTGGAATATACATATAATGGTACGGAACGATCTGTGCCATTAAGAGGGAGCAATTGCCGTAATGACTAGCGATTCTTTTACTAGTAGTTTATAACGATGTTTTTCCCTTAATACTATTTCAAATTCATTGCCTGTGATAGCGTGATAATGTTGAATAATGTTTGCTTATTGCTGATTTTGGTGTATGTGCAGATTTTTGTTTTAGATCACATAAAGTATTGCATGTTTTTTCAACCTCAGCTGCATCAAGTTTTTCCGTTCGCAACGGTAAGCTACCCGTCTGAGAGCGAGTAACTGGGCGCCGTTGACAAATTTGTATTGAGACACGACTAGTATTTATAGATGTTTTATCGCTATGTTTTTTAATTTTACCGCTCACCGTTGTGATTCTGCCGCTCGACACGTTGTTCGAAACTGTACAGTTAGTTGAATTACTGAGTAAAATAGCGAAACTTGATGTGATTACCATTGGTTGTGCATTTTCCATAGCTTTTTTCAGACCACTAAGATGCTCATCCATTCTTGTACAAAAATGTCTATATGTTTTTCCAATATAAAATTCACCACAAACAGGGCATGTGGCTTTATAAACAAGGCCAGATTGTAGGACAATAGGAATTTTATCTTTAGTGCCGACTCCCTTGCTAAGTTTCTGAGTATCATATACCACTAATACTTTTTTTAGAGAGTAGTTCTTCTGTACAGCTGCTGAGATTCTATTACCATATGTAATACTCGCTTGTTCATAGTACGATATTTTGGAGACAAGTTTTTCTTTTTTCACCGTGCTAATAGTTCCTTCTGAATTAAAATATTGATAGAGTTTCCCATTAATAATTTTCTGAACGAAACTGTTGGGATAACCGTTTGTTCTGGCTAGCTCTCGAATTATCCTAAACTCTTTATCCAGCAACGGGTATGTTGAACATATGCGAATTGCTCTATAAGTCATCGTACTCATAGCATTCCATTTGTATGACGTGGGTACATAAGAATCCCAACGTGTGAGAAGTCCAGTGAAGGTTGGCTTTCTATACACAGTTGTAGTGAAACTTGATTTTAAGCGGGCACTCTCACATCAAGAAATGGTATGGAACCGTCGTCGTCTTCTAGTTCGAAAGTAAAGGTCATAGATAGATGAAAACTCGATAAGAAGCCAGCTATGATCATTGGGTCAATGTCATTGTTCAAAAGAACAAAGGTATCATCGACGTAGCGACGCCAGAATTTTACTCCACTTTTTTGTAGTAAAGGTAGATGTTTCCCTTCAAAGTCTGTCATAAATAATTCTGCCATCAACGGCGCGATTGGTGCTCCCATAGAGACTCCATCTATTTGGTCATAGATTCTGCCATTGAAGTAAAAATGGGTGTTTTTGGTGACAAAAATTAGCAGTTTTCTAAAATCTAACTTTTTCATTGACGATTTTTTATTTGAAGCATACAGTTTTCTAATGATTATGTTGATAGTTTCATCTATCACGATGTTTGTGTATAAACCAGTTACATCAAACGACACCAGTCTGCTATTAGTTGCTAGGTTTCCGTTATTTTGTAATATCCCTATAAAATCAAAACTATCCTTGACAATGTTGGAGTTCATTGTAATATCCGCTAAAACTGTTATTAATTCGTTACTAAGCCCATAGTTAAATGTGCCTATGGCAGATAGAACAGGTCGAAGTAGTATGTCTTTTTTATGTATCTTTGGCAATCCATATATAGAACCTGGATTTGAACCAACAGGTCTAGCCCTGTTGTATACTGCTTGACTAATATGACCTTGTTTGAGTAGTCTACGTAATAAATTAGTCAGACTATCCTCTCGCGCTATAGTTGGATCAATACATAGTGGTTGAAATTTAGTACGATCATCTAGTATTTGGAACATTTTCTTCTCATAATCTGATTTGTCCATAAGTACCACTCTGCCTTTGTCAGGTCGTGTGATTATGATAGATTTGTCTTTACGTAGAGAACTGAGTGTATTCCTGTCAGTGTCGATCTGTTTTCTGGATAAATATCTTAACCGATTTGTATTCCAACGAAACGAGTCTGTGATTGATCAAAATTTTGATGCTAAATTTAGATCCGTCGGATTAAGTAAACGAATGTCCTTATCCATGACTGTGGATGTCTCTTTCATATCTTCAAGAAGCTGGCGATGTTGTTGATGTATCCTGGATACTCGATGGAAAAATTTTCGATATTACTTATCACATGACACTGACGAGTGACCTCTATCAAACTAACAAATAAAAGAACGGTACGATGAATGTTTTTGATTTTCGGGTGGTCTATAAAAAAAGGAAAAAAGGAAAGGAAAAGCCATTGTCTAGGACAATGTGTCTTTGTCTTAGACAATGACTTTTCCTTTCCTTTTTTCCTTTTTTTATAGACCACCGATTTTCGTACAATTGTTCCAAAAAATCGGCCATTTCGAATTCGACAAAAATCAGCAAATACGTGTTTAGTGCATAGAATGCGTCTTTTAAGGTTGTTAGTGACAAAGTCAATAGTGTCTTCTGAATTTATTTTTTTTAAATTTTATTGGAGAATAAATTAGATTCGAGAATCTAATTCTGCATTAGAAAATTAGATACTTTAGCCGCGCTGCACCATATTAGATAAAAATTGGGCGCTACATGCAAAATCATTTGGTCAATCGGACAGCGGGTTCTTTTTAATTGTATTTTGACTTCTTTTCGGGCGTCGACATAATCTACGTGGTTTTTGGTTTTTGTCTAAATATTATTTTTCTCATTGATTGCAAAAAGGACTGGTTGAAAATGCTATCCACTGATATACTTTGTGGAATTTTTTAAAAAGCTAGGTAGGCCAGAAAATTGAAATAAAAAAACTTCTAAGTTTCGAATTTGAATTTTCGATGAGTTTTATTCGTTTTAAAGTTGATATTCGTAATAAAAAAACTGCGTCTAGCAATGTGCTTTTAAGGCTGGTTTGATGGAGAAAATATTGCTCCAACCACCGCACAAGATCACATACACCAGAAAATAAAATTATAAATTAATTTAAAAACTCATAAATAATATTAGATGATACTAAAGATGAATTCTCCTTGAGACACGAGCAGAGCAATTCTGCAAGAGCGAGAAAATGCGAACTTTTAATGTAAGCAAGAACTCATCTACTCAGCCGCTGTCTTGTTTCATCGAATTTTCGATATTTTGAGGTGTCGTATGTTTTTCATCTCTGGTTGTCAGGCAAAGTTTGTAAAGTTTATTACTACTATTTTATTACGATAACGCTCTTTTCTTCAGGATGATTCTATATAACACCGAGAAATCGAGTGCAGCTGCTGCTCTGGAGTATAGCACTACGAATAGTGCTCCTGACTTTCACGCACGTGTTTTAATAACAACAGATTTACTACCAGATGGTATTCCTGTAGCCCAAGTTTCATTGGTTATCAATTATGAGTTGCCAAATGAGCGTGAAAAATACATCCATCGGTACGCAAAGAAGCAGTGAGAGAACATTATATCCGTTTTACGTAGCGGAGTTAAATTGCACTTTCACAAATCATATGAATGAAGAAATTCGGATATGATTCGTTTCCGTTCAGGCTGCTATTATCTATACGGAGAATATGCGGACTGCATTACGCTCTGAGTTTTGATAGATCAGTTAGAAGTGGCACTGAAGGGCTATATTTTCGTTTCACACGCATCTCTGCTGAGCTATTCTAAAAATATGAACTTATTTCATTATAGTATCGGCCGTAGTGGACGTTTTGGACGAAAAGGTCTTGCAGTTAATTTTATTACTAATGAAGATCTTGGAACACTTCATAAAATCGAACAATTTTACAATACACACGTTGAAGAAATGCCGATGGATTTTCAGATTTAATTTATCGATATTGATTTGCATTTAAAATTTTAATATTTAGCTAAGAAGACGGCGAATTTAATTTTCTCGAAAACTGCTAATTTTGTTTTGAAATGAATTTCAAAATTTTGGGAAAATATTCATAATGTTAAAATATTCTAATTTCACAATAAACTTGACTTCTTTTGCAAAGCTTTATTGACCTCTGAGTTTAACTTTCAGATAATTATTTTAACATAAAAAAATGGACAATTTTATGTTGTACAATCTGACACTATTTATGTTAAACAATTATTCTCTTTTGAGTGAAAGACTGACTTTTCATATCACCGCCATTTTTGCTCTCAAACTCAAAAAATTTAATGTCATGCATTTTATACTAAAAGGTGCAGAATTTATCATTTTACAAGATGATATACATCAGAAAATAAAATTATGAATTAATTTAAAAAGTCATAAATAATATTAGATGATACTAAAGATGAATTCTCCTTGAGACACGAGCAGAGCAATTCTGCAAGAGCGAGAAAATGCGATTGCACATTAAAGTTCTGCAGCACCCTATTCACAACCAATTTCAAAGATCGGCTTTCTCAATGGTTAAAGAAGAATTTCTCCCGCTAAGGTCCATTGTAATAGCCATTCCTTTACAGAGACCACCTCTA